TAGGGTTTAGTTTTGAGGGTTTATGGGGTTTTAAAGGTCAAAACATTTTTCAAAATTTTTTTAAAATACCACTTTTCAAAAATGTTTCATTTAAAAAAAAAAAATTTTCATTATATCATTTATGTTTGGGTTAACTATGTTATATTAGATTTTAATTTTGAGGGTTTAAGTGGTTTTAGGGGTCAAAACATTTTTTAGGGTTTATAATTTTAAGATTTAGGTTATAAATTAGTGGAATTCTTGCAAATGTACAACCAAACGTGGTATTTTTGCAATTGCCCCAATATTTTTTTAGGGTTTAGAATTTTAAGATTTAGGTTATAAAAATTCATAATTAGTTGCATTTTTGCACGTGGACAACCCATATAGCGGCATTTTTGCAAATGTACACACCAAAAGTAGCATTTTTGCAATTGTCCCAAGAAAATTTCTATTGCTCAAACGGTCTGAACGTCTCATCGGCTAGACTTTTATATTCGAACAAAGAAAATATATTGAATCTGCCAATAAAACATGATCGATAGTAGTGAGTTAATAAAGTTCCAACAATAAAACATCCGCTAGTTTTAAACTAACAAGTTCACAAATTCATGCTCAGAGTGACAAAATTATTATTTATATCATTCATAAATCTAGATTTAATTTCATAAATCGATCATAATAATGTCAGATCGACAATTATAAATCATGAAGAATGATCGATCATAAAGCATGAAACATGGAATATATATTAGGTGAACATGTTGAACAAATCAACTCAAATCGAGGGTTATGAAGCAATAAAGTGAACAAAAGGTGGATCTCGATTTATCAAACCTACGCTAACCAACAAATTATCAAACCAATTCAAACCAACGGTTGATTATGTTAACCATAAAACATGGACCGAACAAATATGAGGTAGCATCATCAATACAGATTTAAGAAATCAAATTTAAACAATTTATTTTTTCTTCTTTTAGTCTACCAAACCAATAAGTTATAAAATATATAAATTATTCATGTAATGAATTAAGAGAATACCAAATCAACGATTTTCTTATCAATTTCTAATTAATTATTCTCATATCATGAAAGGAATCGAGCAACATCGAAATAGGTGTAGAAGAAAAAGAAAACAATAGTGAGGTATGATCTAACTGTAAATTCAATTCTAACAAATTATTAAACAATAGTCAGACAATAAACAAACAAATCTCAACATAAGCAAAATGTATGTGCTAATATTCT